AGGTGCGGGACCCCTCCACCTCCCCGGCTTTGCTCCAGGGCTACGTCTACACTGGCCCCTTTTTCAGAAGGGGCATGCTAATTTTGAAAGTGGGAATAGAGAAATCCGCGGGGGATTTAAATATCCCCCGTGGATTTAAATAAACATGTCCGCCGCTTTTTTTCCGGCTTTGGGAAAAGCTGGAAAAAAAGTGTCTAGACTGGCCCGATCCTCCGGAATAGAGCCCTATTCCAGAGGATCTCTTTGAAGTAGGAATAAGAGATTTCCCTATTCCCACTTTTAAAATTAGCATGCCCATTCCGAAAAAGGGGCCAGTGTAGACGTAGCCCAGGTGTCCTTGGTCTGCTGGAGATGGTCCCCAGCAGACCAGGGGCACCCGGAGTAGCTTTTCTCGCCCCGGAGGTCGAGGTGGCGGGACTGCTGCGCTCTAGGTGGTCCTGCTGCCTGCGAGCTCTGGGGCGAGAAAGCCCCGTTCGTAAGTGCGGATCCGACATAAGTCGGATCCTCTTAACTCAGGGACTGCCTGTACTTTCTATCATTTTTGTGCTCCCTGATAAATATATTTAAGACCACAGACCTTAGCTCAGGTCTACGGAGCTCCATGCAGCTTCTCTTGTACTATGTGAAAGTTTACTAGGTGTTACTGTTTGTTTTCTATTTGATAGATGCAAGTTAAGGCCCATAAAATATCAATATTTGGCTATTTAATGCTTGTTCGGAAGATATGCAATATCTTAATATATAGTACTGCTTCCAGAGTATACTCCGAAAAAAAAAAAAGCACTCCAAGGTATTATAACTAATACCTATTAGTTATTTGGCAATCATAATGTCAATACTTCCATTTCAGTCGATCAGCAACTTGACAATCAGAAGACCCATTGATTTCAACATCATTTTGGTGTTCAAGTTAGGATCACCAATGGTGTGGGAGGAAAGCGGCAAATGGGGCAACTGCCTGAGGTCAAAAGGGTAATTCAAAAGTGCCCCAGCCTCCTGACCACCACTGCCACTACTGACAATGGCAGCAGATGGAGTCTTGGGTCCTTTAAATCGCTGCCAAAGCCCCGGGCTCTGCTCTCTGTATGTCACTGAGTCTGTGGGGGAGGGTGTGGCACAGTCTGGGAGATGCTGAAGGCTGGCTGTCCCCAACCCTGCCCCATCTGCCCAAGGCACTGTCCCTTCTGGGAGACTGGAGCTGCATGGAGCTCCCTCCTCCCCCCACCACACACATACCTTGCTCAGGGACCCAGCATTTCTATCAGCCCCTGTGGTTCAAGCTGACTTAGAGTCAGATGCTGGGAATATCATGCCTTAGGCATATGTCACAATATCCACCTTAGCTTGCTGTGCCCTAATTCTTGTTTTTCTTGTAATGTATCCATCCGATGAAACACTTGCTATAACTGATTATGTGATGGAGATTAATTTGATGGAGATATTTATGTATATTTTGCAAACTAACAGTACCTCTACCCTCCAGTTTTGCACTTAATCAACCATTAAATATACTAAAAGAGTATCTTCCAAATCCAGAAACATAGAGCAAACTGTGGGCAAACTGTGGGCAAGCTAGGACAAACTGCCCATACAGTAGAGAAAGCTTGATGTACAGACACATAGGCTACGTCTAGACTGACATGATTTTCCGGAAATGCTTTTAACAGACATTTGCCCGAAAGGGAGCAGCATAGTATTTCCGCAAAAAGCATTGATTTCTTACAGTAGGAAGTCAGTGCTTTTGCTGAAATTCAAGCGGCCAGTGTAAACAGCTGGCAAGTTTTTCCGGAAAAGCAGCTGATTTTCCAGAAAAATTGGCCAGTCTAGACACAGCCATAGAAATAAAGAAAGGAAGAAAAGGAGCAAAGACCAAGAGGCAAAAGCAGAGGTAGAACTGAAATGAAAAAGATGGGGATAGGTAACCATATACATGGTACTAAAATTAATGTATCCATTTGTGGCATTCACTCTGGGTTTTCAATCTAAGTTGATCATTTTCCAATCTAAGTTGATATTAGACTTCATCCTGCGATAAACTGAACACTTCTATCAACCTCTTCTTTTTAGTGCCTGTAAATCCTATTGGCTGCATTAAAAGCTGAGAAAACTCCACAGCCCACAAAAAGCTCAGCATTTTGCAAGATGAGACCCATAAAGCATTGCTTTCCTGGAGAAATGTAAAACATGCACTACTTTATAAAGTGCACATGTTGAAAAACATATTTTTCTTAGGGATTAATATCCCATTCTTATAGAGAGGGGAAGTGGCTAATATAAGGGGGAAAATATTGCAGAATATGTTTCAGAGGAAGAAATACTGGTATTACTTTTCTCTAGCATCATTTCATCCTTATTCTGTAGTTGTTATTTGGTTTATTTCTTGATTGGTAAGAAGAGTGTTAAGAAAATATATAATCTTTCTAAAGAAAAGGAATGCCCTACTCTGTGCACATTCACATAGTGTTCAATTCTTTTGTGTCTTGTGCATACTTCAAGCTGTAGGCCTAGACTTTTTTTCCTATAGAGTAAATCATGTAAACCAAAATATCACATAATAAATTATTAGATCTCTAACTAAATTTCAATAAAAGAATAGAAATTCCAAACTTCTCTTAGAAAAGTATTATGACAATGCAGTCATTTCCTTTCCTGTGTAAAAAATGAGGGTTTAGTAGATTTCAAAGTAGTTATCTACATAAAAGCTGGTGATGTTTCTTGCATATAATTTTAAATATGGGATATGATTCAATGTACATTTCACATCATTTACCAGATTTTTTTTGTTCAAATGTTGACAAGTACTTCATGTAATAATATAACCCAAATGACAGAATGAAACCTCTGGAGATGGGCTGAATGATTCAGTAGAAAC